GGATAAAGGAGGAAGGTCGAACATAGGTTTAGTGACCCCATCATGTAGAAATCCAACTCACAAGAAAAATACACTAACTAGAAAAATAATTAATTTTTTTTTAAAAAAAACTTATTTAAATTTTCTTTTTCTTTTTAAAAATAAAAAAATTTCTCCCTAGTAAATTTCACAACTAAATCAATTTATTGTCGAAACGCTAGAAAATTTAATGGAATCCTATTAATTTTTCTATTCGGTGCCTTCATTGGTTGGTGGATATGTGATGAGAGTAAAGATTCATTCCAACGAAATAATGATGATCCGAGAAAACATAATTTTATATTTATTGGTGGACATGAAAGTAGTGGTAAGTGAATTATTATTTTGTACAGTTTCTGTCTATTTTGCCATATGACTAGTCAGTCAGATGCAACGTAGATCTTCGTACGTAAGTACATCGGTTCATGTTGCATACCACATTAGCATAGAGAAGTAATTGTCAATTCAAATCGAATAGTAGAAGAGGTAGTAAAGGTATTAGAAGTAATCGAAGAGGTTAGGATGAGAAGATATTATTCAAGAAGTATGATTCAATGAGAAAAGTTTAGGAAGTCAAAACTAGAGGTGTGGAAGAATCCAGAAGATTAGGATTTGAGAGAACATAAAGAATAAATGCACCGGCGCCATTGCAAACGGTTTTGAGCCATGTCATTCAAGGTCTCTAACCATCGATTATTATCATCTCGCGGACCCCAACCAGGTAGTCGACAATTACCGACATGACTAAGTCCACTCGTCAATGACTTCATGGATTTCTGACATGTTTTGGTTTGGCCGCCCCTAGCTTTCTTCCAACCTACTCCTACACCACGAAACATAGCTCGTCGAGGTAGTCAGTGATTAGGTATATGTAACACATGTCCCAACCATCTCAACTGATGAAGTTTCATTACTCCATCTATTGATTTGCCATTCTTACCTAGCACCCGATTCCTAATAACAGGCGATATGACTAGAGAACCCATTGATTAGTTGTTAGGTGAAATTTCGCCTGGAACTCCTCTCGGTCTACTACCGGTCCGAAGCCTGAATAAAGGAGGAAGGTTGGGCACAGGGGTTACCGACTCTATCCCATAGATATCTAACTTACTGCAAAATAGGCCAACTAGACAGAAAATAATTCAAACTCTCAAATGAGTTATAACGTCTCATGATGGAAGCCAAGTTTTTTCGGAAGTCAAAAGGCTGATGCCCATTTGTGACAACCAGAGTAAGCATTAATTTAGGTCCATGGAATGTTCATACAATGTGGGCGACTGTGAGAGTCGACCAAATTTCTACCAGTGAGTGAAATGACATATGTTGACGTCAGCTGGCCCACATAACTTGTACATTTTTTCTGTTCACATCGAAACCAGTTTTTGCAGAATTGCAATCTACATATAACTACCTTATCGTAGTCTAAAACTATGTAATTAATGAAAAAGTAATGCCATGTAATTTATCATCACTTGAGAAATCTTTCAGTGTGAATAAGTGTAGGGTTCGTCACTAGGTACTCTTGAAGCTATTACGAGTTAGCCTTAGTTGATAAACAAGAATGAGACAATGAACCAGTGTCCAGATAGGCTACCTTGAATCCCAAACTGCAAAACAGAAGACTTGGTAAGCGTAGAAAGTATATTCTACAAACACCCAGCAATCACAATACAATCGAGCACACAACTCTCGTTTATTTATACATCATAGAAACGTCCTTGGGACAGTTAAGAAAATAGCACACTAAAATACACAGCAACCAATCACAGCCATGGATTTTGCTGGTGGGAAATGAAATCTCAAGGTCAACTGATCAGCCCATTTTCGCAAACGTGAAATCCAAAATAATGCATTTAACAAGCGAGCTTTGGGGATCTAACATCCCCAACAATAAGTTAAGTTGATATATGCTTTTAAAGCAGTATATACAATTGAAATCATGAATATTAGATCATCATTAGAAAGCTTAAAGCACTGGACGATGGTTTCGTCCTAATGTAGGACTCATCGGTAGCATGCATCCACGACTCCCGTCACTTGTAGGAATCGGGACCAGGACCTTCAGTCTCGAGCGTGAACACTTGACGTGTAGACCACTGAGCCTGATGTCATCCAATGGTTTTAATGTCTAACTTTGATTAATTCAAGGTATTGCACAACTTCACCCTATTGTCTTTAGTGGGTAACATGTTTTTTGAATATTTAACTGTGTTGACCGTGAGGCAGTTGATCACTAAAACCAATGCTAGATGGTCACGTATTATCGCGAACTAAGTGAAGTTAGTTTCCGACTCAGTGGTTTGAAAGTTTAGGCGTTTGCACGGGAGACCAAAGGTCCCAGATCCGACTATCGTTTACGAGATTATGGATACGTGCTGCTAATCAAGAGTCTCATACTAGAACGAAACAGCCATCCAATGTTTCAATTTTCTCACTGACAATCTAATATTGTTAAAATTCATAAGTTCAATGAAATTTAACAATCACCAAAACTCTATCATCACAACATTTTGATTTTTTTTTTAGTGTTCAATAAGTTTTTATATAATATTTTGATTTTGTCATATGTTTAATAAGTTTGAGTAATCATTACCACTTATCTACTGTTACAATAAATAATGACGTTATTTTCAATTAGAGTTATGGAGATTAGCGTTTTTTACACATTTGAAATAATCAATCAATCATTGTTAGACCATCATTAGAAACCTGAAAGCACTGAAACACGGCCGCTTCGTCCTGGTATGGGACTCATCATTAGCACTGCGCATCCACGACTGCTTCACCTCGCAGGACTCAAACCTGGGACCTTCGGTCTTGTGCGCGGGCGCCTAACCTTTGGATCACTGGTGTTAATGTCTAACTCTGATTGGTCAAGGGATTTTGCACGACCTCACACATTCGCCTTTGATAATTACTGCCTACATCCGACAGGGTTGAACTCCACGTATATCGTTACAATTAACTGTTTACACGGTGTTACAATGATGATAATTGGTTATACTATTTGTTTCCATTTAAGCCATAACTCGATCAATGTTAGGCCGTTATTACAAACCTGGAAGCACTGGACAGCGGTTTCGTCCTAGAATGGGACTCCTCAATAGCAGTGCGTATCGATAACCTCCTCTCTCTCTCCCACACACACACCCAGGAACTTCGATCTGACGCACGAACACTTAACCTCTATACTATTAAGCCCTCCAATGCTTTCAGGTTTCTAATAATGATCCAACAATGATCAATTCATGATTTCATTAAGTAACTTAACAATTTTCACAATTACATAATTTTTTACACATTTGAAATCATCAATCAATCATTGTTAGACCACCATTAGAAACCTTCAAGCACTGGACTGCCGTTTGGTCCTGGTATGGGACTTATCAGCAGTGCACATCCACGACTGCTTCACCTCGCAGGACTCAAACCCGGGACCTTCCGTCTTGTGCGCGAACGCCTAACCATCGGACAAATGGGCCGGTATCCAACGGTGTTAATGTCTAACTCTGATTAATCTACGGATTGTTTGCGCGACCTCACCCATTTGTCTTTGCTAGTTACTGCCTACACCCGACGGGGTTGAACTCCACTGGTGGTCACGTCTTCTCAACTAGAACTCCGAGAATTTCCTCACGAAGCTAGTCATCACTAGTGAGCACTGTTACGATATTTTGGGGCAGAGTTTTGGAGGTTTGCGTTTGTTAAAAAAAACTATCTTGTTCAATGTTAAACAAGAATTCAAATAATGAATTTCATTTTAATTTAAAGAATTTTTTCGTTTTAAAGAATAATTTATCTGATAAGTAGTTTTTAATTTGAATGCTGTCAATATGACAATCAATATTCAATTGACAAATGTCAAATAATTACACATACATTTTTTAAATTCAAAATTCAATTTTTTTTTTTTTGAAGGTTACATTGAGATACATTTTAAAAAAAGGTATTGATTGATGGATTTAAAGAAAATTGATGATTATTTTATATATGAACTACTTTTTTGTATGATGAATTTCAAATTAATCGGGTATCATATAGAATGAAGATTGTGTTATGCATGCATGTGAACATATCATTTGAGAAATATTTGAATTATTATTATTACTATTACGAGTTTACCCTTAGTCGGTGAGTGAGAGTGAGGATCGATGACCCAGTGACACGATAGGCTACTGTAATCCGATTGTCCCGAACCACCATTGAGTGAAAGAAGAAGACTTGATGTGAAGTAGAACATGTATTCTAAAAGCATCCAGAAAGTATGAGGTCCGAGTTCAGAGGCGGATCAGGATCTTGGACTAAGGACCTGGGTCTGGGTCATAAAACGTTACAGATAATGCGTATTTATACACTTAGGTTGAGAAGGAAACAGCGTCGAAGTCTGTGACATTGACAATTAGGACGACCGATAGGAAAAAAACATTGGAATGACATTGATATATAGTACAACCACAAAATTGCCCAGTAGGAATTGACCAATAATTCTCTTAGGATATTGGATATTGTAATTGCTTAAGGGAGAGATTGAACTTTTTTGATCAGTCTTTGTTAGCACGAAGATCTAAGAGCACTTATGCAAATCTATCGTCTCTTATACGCTTGTAAAGCCGGTTAGTAGTACTAATAACTTACAAATAAGTCAAACAGTCACTTGCTGACCTAGCGAAGCCCGCCGAAAATCAGACCTGATCATTTTGGCAACAGTGCTGGTTATGATGAAAACCCTGAGAAAGTTCTTTAGCAAGTAGATCATGAAACACTTACAGTGCGTTCATTCTACCTGCCGGGCATGGTAGAACATTCAGGAACGTATGTTCCAACCAGTATAGCTCGGTTGGGTCATCACGATAGGCAAGCCCTACAAGCACCACGTCAAGCTAGCAGCTACAGTCGGTCTAAACAGAGTTAAGATTGATTGATATTATCAAATAAATGATTGTACTTTTTTTGTTTTATTTCAAAAAAAAGGAACTGGACTCATGCGAATTCTTCTCGATGTTCATCCATTAATAAGATGTGGTCCAGAACCAGTGGTTACAACATCCATATTACGATTTAAAAAATTCTATGAACATATGCCAAAACAATTGTATGCTGCAGGAATCTACCCGCATGTATATAATCGTGCAATAGCTGCATTTTTTAATGAAATTCTTATTAATATGGGTCCACCAGCTGACAGGTTATGTCATAAACAACCATTTTCATTTTATTATTTAAATTATTTAAATGAAATATTTCCAAATGCAAAATTTATTCATATGATACGTGATGGACGTGCTGTGATTGCTTCATCGATTAAGTAAGTTAGCTGTTGTTGTTGCTGTTTTTTTGTTCTTTTCCCGAATTCAATTCAATTGTTGGTGCATTGGTTTACTGTTAACGTTCGTCACTAGGTAGGTACGCTTGAGAAGCTATTACGTACGAGTTCATCTTAGTTGATAAACGCCAACGAGACAATGAACCAGAGTCCAGGTTACTTACTTACATATTTACGCCTATTAACCCCAATGGAGCATAGGCCGCCCACCAGTTTTCTCCAACCAACTCTGTCCTCGGCTTCCCTTTCCAGTTCTGTCCAATGTTTGTTCAGTTTTCTCATATCTTTCTCTATTTCTTGGCGTAATGTGTTCCTTAGCCTTCCTATTTTCCTTTTGCCTTGAGGGTTCCATGTGAGGGCTTGTCTCGTGATGCAGTTCGGTGCTTTTCGTAGTGTGTGTCCTATCCACTTCCACCACTTCTTCCTGATTTCCTCCTCCACTGGAATCTGGTTTGTTCTCTCCCACAGTTCGTTGTTGCTGATCGTGTCTGGCCAACGAATCAGAAGTATTTTACATAGACAGCTGTTCATAAACACTTGTATCTTGTTGATGATTGCTTTGGGAGTTCTCCATGTTTCCGCTCCATACAGAAGAAGTGTCTTGACATTTGAATTGAAAATCCTGATTTTGGTTTTAGTTGAAAGTTGTTTGGAGTTCCAGATATTTTTCAACTGTAGAAATGCAGCCCTTGCTTTGCCGATCCGCACCCTCACATCTGCATCCGATCCACCTTTCTCGTCGATGATGCTGCCCAGATATGTAAAGGTGTTAACGTCCTCCAAGTCATCTCCATCAAGAGTGATTTGGTTGGTGCATGTTGTGTTGCATCGGAGAATTTTGCTTTTTCCTTTATGTATGTTGAGACCTGGTGCTGCAGAGGCTGCTGCTACACTGGTGGTCTTCTCTCGCATTTGTTGTTGCGTGTGCGATAGAAGAGCCAGATCATCTGCGAAGTCCAGACCGTCCAGCTGCGTCCTGACTGTCCATTTGATACCGTGCTTCCCTCCGGATGTCGAAGTCTTCATAATCCAGTCGATCACCAGGAGAAAAAGAAAGGTTGAGAGTAAGCAACCTTGACTGTAAAACAGAAGGCTTGGTAAGCGTAGAAAGTATATTCTACAAACACCCAGCAATCACAGTGCACTCAAGCATACAACTCTCGTTTATTTATACATCATAGAAACGTCCTTGAGACAGTTACGAAAATAGCACACAGCAGCCAATCACAGCCATGGATTTTCCTGGTTGGAAATGAAATCTCACGATCAACTGATCAGCCCATGCTCGCAAACGTGAAATTCAAAATTAAGGGATTTATCAAGCAAGTTTTGGGGGTCTAATATCCCCAAAACTTACGTATTTTTGCCTGTTAACCCCAATGGAGCATAGGCTGCTGACCAGCATTTCTTAAAGCTACTTTATCCTGAACCTTCATTTCTGGTTCTGTTCTACTGTTGTTCATTCTTTTTGTGTCTCTGTCCATTTCTCAACGTAATGTGTTCCTTGGCCTTCCTCTTTTCCTTTGACCTTGGGGGTTGCAAGAGAGGGTTTGTCTTTTGACGCATTTGGGTGCTTTCCGCAATGTGTGTTTCCTATGCACTTCCACCGCTTCTTCCTGATTTCCTCCTCCATTGAAGGAATCTGGTTTCTTCTTTCCTACGGTAGGTTGTTGCTGAACAGTATGTTGCGTAGACAACTGCTAATGAATACGTGTATCTTCTGGATGATGGCTTTGGTAGTTCTCCAAGTTTCCGCTCCATACAATAGAACTATCTTGAGCCACAGAGGGGCTCCTGACAGAGCTGATTGCGCAATACTATTACGCAACACGATTGCACAATTCTTCCAATTAGAGTTAAGAAGATGAGTGTTTCCTTTTTTACACAATTGAAATCATCAGTCACTGCATAATTAAATGTTATGTATTTGTTATTTATCTTAGGATATTCATCCAATATCCTAAGAGAATTATTGGTCAATTCCTATTGGTCAATTTTATGGTTGTCCTAACTATCAATGTCACTTCAAATGTTGCTTCCTATTAGTCGTCTCAACTGTCAATGTCACAGACTTCGATGCTGTTTCCTATTCAACCTAAATGTATAAATACGCATTATCTGTAACGTTTTATGACCCGGACCCGGATCCTTAGTCCGGGATCCTGATTCTCTTCTGGACTCGAACCTCATACTTTCTGAATGTTTGTAGAATACATGTTCTACTTCATATCAAGTCTTCTTATTTTTACTGAATATGGGGGTTGGGACACTCGGATTAGAGTAGCCTGTCGTGTCGCCGGATCCTCGATCCTCGCTCTCATTTTTTCCAACTAAGGGTAAACTCGTAATAATAATTCAAGCATATCAAAATGACATGTTTACATTCATACGTAACAATTAATATTCATGTTCTGTTCAATTTTCAATAATCATAATCATACTAAATCATTGTTATTTATATAGACGTTCAATTAATCCATTGTATGTTTCGGATAAACCATATTTGGCATTTAATTATTGGGAAGGATTACTAAAAAAATGTATGAAGATTGTATGCGAATTGGTTCAACACGTTGTTTAACCATACGTTATGAAGATTTAATATTGAATACAATGAAAGAAACAAAAAAGATTTTTCAGTATGTTCAATAATGTAATGTATATATTTAAACATGCATGCACACACACATAACTAAACTTGATAATAATTTGAACAAATCAATGGTTATTATAATCATCATTTAAAGTGTATGTTTTTATTTGTGTAGTAAGTCAGTTGTAATGTAGAACTTCGTAACGTATGTACATAAGTGCAGGTTACCATACCACATCACCACAGGGACGCAAATGTCAAATCAAATCCCATAATGATGTAGATAGTAGAGGTATTAATGGTAATGAAGAAGACTAGGGTTCGAAGATATTATTCAAGAAGTATAATTCAGTGAGATGAATTTAGAAGGAGAAAGAGATTCAAAAGGTTGGAATTAGAGAGAACATCAAGAGTGGATGCACTTGCGCCATCGCAAACGATTTTAAACCATATCATTCAGGGTCTTAACCATTGGTGACTTTCGTCTCGCGGACCCAAACCAGGTAGTCTACATCTACCAACATGACTCAGTCCACTTGTCAGTGACTTCATGGATTTCTGTCATGTTTTGGTCTGGCCGCCCCTAACTTTCTTCCAACCTACTCCTACACTGCAAAACATAGCTCGTCGAGGCAGTCGGTGGTTAGCCATACGTAACACATGTCCCAACCACCTCAACTGATGAAGTTTCATTACTTCATCTATTGATCTGCCATCCTTACCTAGCACCCGTTTCCTAATAACAGCGTTGCTCACTCGGTTGTCCCACGGTATACGAGCAATGATTCTAAGACATCTATGATCGAATACTAGTAACCTACGAACATCTTCTACTCTCACTGACGATGTTTCGCATCCATATAGGAGATCGGAGAGAACTGCTGTGCAGTACACCCGGTTTTTGTTTATCGAACGGATATCTCGCCTACGCCATAAGTGACGCAGGTTGGCAAAATCCAATCGAGCTTTCTGTATCCGAGCTGAGATTTCGTCAGTCACCAGGCTATCAGCACTGATGAGACTCCCTAGATAAATGAAGTGGTGTACACATTCGACTACTTCACTCCCTATCACTAGTTCAGGTGCCGATGCAACCCAATCTTGAAGCAACATTTTGCATTTGTGTAGTAAATTGATGCTTGAAACATGAAGTAATTTTACGTTTGAAATATTATTCAATCATGGTAAATAAATGAAAATTGAGTTTTCCACCGAAGAAGAACAACAAATAACCATCAGAATTAACATCACTCATCTCTAAAAATCGATATTGTTTTCACATCCAGTGATTACTAGTATGATAGATTATGGAGATTGTCAAGTTACTTTTCGAAATCATGAATCAATCAATGGCAGACTACCATTAGATGAAGCCTGGAAGCACTGAAAGACGGTCATTTCGTCCTAGTATCTGACTCATCAGCAGTACACATCCACGATGAGTGGATTGATCAGACTTAGACATTAACACCGAAGGATGTCAGCTCCGTAGCCATAAGGTTAAGTGTTTACGATAAAGACTGAAGTTCCTGGGTTAGAATCCTGCGAGTAATATACATACATAAGATGACTAGCTTAGAGATGATTTCCTTAGCGTTCGTTTAAGAAGCTTAGATTAATGAAATCGAAGGATATCAGGAGTGAAATGATGTCGAAAAAATCTAACTACTGAATATGAATTCAGTAATATGAAGTTTTGTATTTACAGAAAGACCTAAAGTTTTCAAGTCCATTTACACTAATCAATACAGTATTAATAATAATATCTATTAATCTAGTTCAGTTCTTCAACTTGAGGTGGGGGAAGGATTTGATTGTGTGCAAGTTGATCTTCCGTGCTGTTACAGGTATGTAGGTGGACCTCACTTCCCAATTGCCTACACTGTGGAAGGGTATTCTTTGAAGAGCCTGAAAAGGAAATCGTATTAGCGACCAGTCATCGTAACTACAGAGCCTAAGGGACAAATGCTTGAGGCCTGTCACGCACGGCCTTAATGTGTTAGCTCCGCCCTTCAAAAGGCCTTACCGCTAGAGACTAAAATCCATGACCTAAGGTGAGGTGTGAAATTTTTAGGGTCGACCTTTTCTAACCCTTCCTTCCATTGGGGGAAGGCAGCATCACTGAAGATGCTGGTTGCCCGAGAGAAACACCTTACTACTGTCACACCCCTCTACAGTTATCAGTACAACTTCGCCCTCAGACCTCAAGTTACTGTTCTTAGTCTTACCTGTGTGACATAGTAGGACCT